TCAGCTGTTGCCTGTTCCTCCCTCCAGAACAAGGTCGTTTAGGCGCCATGGCGCTCTGGGTGTTCCTGGCCTTCTTGGGCATCGCAGTCGGAGAACACTGCGAGCGCTGCGCAGACGGAGGTGATCAGGCGGCCTTCCTTCAGTCCGGCAAGGAGTCCTGGCCTGGTGTACGTCGCGGCTACGGCTACTCCAAGAAGACGACGAAGATGTTTGAGGACGAACCCTTTGACCTGCCGACATTGAGCCCTCAGGACATCGAGACCATCACTGCCAATTGCATTACGGGAGTGGGCTTGGTGGCTTCGCCCCTTCGCGCAGCCGCTGCCAACACCACTGTGGTCATGCAGATCGTGATCATGCCCAGGGCCACGCCGAGCCAGCCCGTGAACCTCTGGGATGTGGGCGCTAAGCCCGATGACTCTGCCTTGTTGGGCAGCCGGGACATTGCCCGTGGAAAGGCATTCACGGCCCTGGGCTTCAGCTCCAACGAGAACGTTTTGAGCAGCCGTCAGATCGGTGGGGCCGCCTTGGTGGCCAACGGGAACACTCCAGCACTAGGAGGAATCCAGAACACCAACCGCCAGGAGGGCGCCGGCGTCGTCACTTTCGGAGGCGGCATCCCCCTCTTCAAAGAGGGGAAGCTGGTGGGAGCTGTGGGCGTGAGTGGTGACGGAGTGGAACAAGACGAAGCAGTCGCCCTGGCTTGTGCTACCGATTTTGAGCCGCCCCCCGCCTTGAGCGCTGGCATGGTCGGCGAGAATGTGACGAACCCACTCTCTAGTTGAGCTTACCGTGTTTCTAGAGAGGCGGTGGAGATTTTGATCGGACATGCTTCGATTCCGTTCCCTCCTGTGTCCAGCAATGCCTGGGTTTGTCGAAGCTAAATGGGACGGTGTTGAGAACAGCTGCGCGTTTGCAACTTTGTGAGTCAGGGCACTTGCTGACGGCTTGCGGGCCTTGCAGTAGGTGCAATTTTGCGGGATGCTAGGCGACAGCTTCCCCGGCAGTGGGCGGCGCGGGCCGTGTCCTCAATAAAATCAGCCTGCTATGTACTATAGGTTTTTGAGGAGAGCGAGGGAGTGGCAGAGGCGATCAAAAGCAACAGCACGATCACGAACATTGACCTCACGTACAACAACATCGGCACCGAAGGCTGCAAGGCTGGGTGGCTGAGAGGTCGGTGCATTTTGGAGCCTCGGCCTTTTCTGTGCGAGGCATTGGCAGAGGCGATCAAAAGCAACGACACGATCACGAACATTAACCTCAGGGCCAACAGAATCGGCGCCGAGGGCTGCAAGGCTGGGTGGCTGAGAGGTCGGTGCATTTTGGAGCCTCGGCCTTTTCTGTGCGAGGCATTGGCAGAGGCGATCAAAAGCAACAGCACGATCACGAACATTGACCTCCAGCACAACAACATCGGCGCCGAAGGCTGCAAGGCTGGGTGGCTGAGAGGTCGGTGCATTTTGGAGCCTCGGCCTTTTCTGTGCGAGGCTTTGGCAGAGGCGATTAAAAGCAACAGCACGATCATGAACATTGACCTCAAGGACAACAACATCGGCGCCGAAGGCTGCAAGGCTGGGTGGCTGAGAGGTCGGTGCATTTGGAGCCTCGGCCTTTTCCGTGCGAGGCATTGGCAGAGGCGATCAAAAGCAACAGCACGATCACGAACATAGGCCTCAGTCACAACAACTTCGGCGCCGAAGGCTGCAAGGCTGGGTGGCTGAGAGGTCGGTGCATTTGGAGCTTCGGCCTTTTCTGTGCGAGGCTTTGGCAGAGGCGATCAAAACCAACAGCACGATCACGATTATTAACCTCGGTCACAACTACAGTAGCATCGGCGACGAGGGCTGCAACGCTAGGTGGCTGAGAGGTCGGTGCATTTTGGAGCCTCGACCTTTTCTGTGCGAGGCTTTGGCAGAGGCGATCAAAAGCAACGGCACGATCACGAACATTTTCCTTGGGGACGAGAGCATCGGCGCCGAGGGCTGCCAGGCTGGGTGGCTGAGATGGGTGTGCACTCGGAGCCTCGGCCTTTTGTGTGCGAGGCTGTGGCAGAGGCGCTCAAAAGCAACAGCACGATCACGATTATTATCCTCGGTCACAACTACAGTAGCATCGGCGACGAGGGCTGCAAGGCTGGGTGGCTGAGAGGTCGGTGCATTTTGGAGCCTCGGCCTTTTCCGTGCGAGGCTTTGGCAGAGGCGATTAAAAGCAACAGCACGATCACGAACATTGACCTCAAGGACAACAACATCGGCGCCGAAGGCTGCAAGGCTGGGTGGCTGAGAGGTCGGTGCATTTTGGAGCCTCGGGCTTTTCTGTGCGAGGCATTGGCACAGGCGATCAAAATCAACGGCACGATCAAGAACATTAACCTCACGGCCAACAGAATCGGCGCCGAGGGCTGCAAGGCTGGGTGGCTGAGAGGTCGGTGCATTTTGGAGCCTCGGCCTTTTCTGTGCGAGGCATTGGCAGAGGCGATCAAAAGCAACGACACGATCACGAACATTAACCTCAGGGCCAACAGAATCGGCGCCGCGGGCTGCAAGGCTGGGTGGCTGAGAGGTCGGTGCATTTTGGAGCCTCGGCCTTTTCTGTGCGAGGCATTGGCAGAGGCGATCAAAAGCAACAGCACGATCACGAACATTGACCTCACGGACAACAACATCGGCGCCGCAGGCTGCAAGGCTGGGTGGCTGAGAGGTCGGTGCATTTTGGAGCCTCGGCCTTCTCTGTGCGAGGCTTTGGCAGAGGCGATCAAAAGCAACGACACGATCACGAACATTAACCTCAGGGCCAACAGAATCGGCGCCGAGGGCTGCAAGGCTGGGTGGCTGAGAGGTCGGTGCATTTTGGAGCCTCGGCCTTTTCTGTGCGAGGCATTGGCAGAGGCGATCAAAAGCAACGGCACGATCACGAACATTGACCTCCAGCACAACAACATCGGCGCCGAAGGCTGCAAGGCTGGGTGGCTGAGAGGTCGGTGCATTTTGGAGCCTCGGCCTTTTCTGTGCGAGGCTTTGGCAGAGGCGCTCAAAAGCAACAGCACGATCATGAACATTGAGCTCATGTACAACAGCATCGGCGACGAGGGCTGCAAGGCTGGGTGGCTGAGAGGTCGGTGCATTTTGGAGCTTCGGCCTTGTCCGTGCGGGATGCTGGGCGACAGCTGGGCGTGAGTGGTGACGGAGTGGAACAAGACGAAGCAGTCGCCCTAGCTTGTGCTACCGATTTTGAGCCGCCCCCCGTTTTGAGCGCTGGCATGGTCGGCGAGAATGTGACGAACCCACTCTCTAGTTGAGCTTACCGTGTTTCTAGAGAGGCGGTGGAGATTTTGATCGGACATGCTTCGAACTTCGATTCCGTTCCCTCCTGTGTCCAGCAATGCCTGGGTTTGTCGAAGCTAAATGGGACGGTGTTGAGAACAGCTGCGCGTTTGCAACTTTGTGAGTCAGGGCACTTGCTGACGGCTTGCGGGCCTTGCAGTAGGTGCAATCTGGGCGACAGCTTCCCCGGCAGTTGGCGGCACGGGCCGTGTCCTCAATAAAATCAGCCTGCTATGTACTATAGGTTTTTGAGGAGAGCGAGGGAGTGGGGGTTGCCTTTAATTGATGCTTTCAGCATGCAGTGGGGCTTGGAACAGTCGCGCTACCGCTAAGGCTCTGCCATGTTTATGCCAGTTTTGTGCGTAAATTAGCTACCACTTTTTGCGAGTCTTCCACATGTTGCTCGAGGCCATCAGCTGTTGCCTGTTCCTCCCTCCAGAACAAGGTCGTTTAGGCGCCATGGCGCTCTGGGTGTTCCTGGCCTTCTTGGGCATCGCAGTCGGAGAACACTGCGAGCGCTGCGCAGACGGAGGTGATCAGGCGGCCTTCCTTCAGTCCGGCAAGGAGTCCTGGCCTGGTGTACGTCGCGGCTACGGCTACTCCTCGAAGACGGAGAAGATGTTTGAGGACGAACCCTTTGACTTGCCGACATTGAGCCCTCAGGACATCGAGACCATCACTGCCAATTGCATTACGGGAGTGGGCTTGGTGGCTTCGCCCCTTCGCGCAGCCGCTGCCAACACCACTGTGGTCATGCAGATCGTGATCATGCCCAGGGCCACGCCGAGCCAGCCCGTGAACCTCTGGGATGTGGGCGCTAAGCCCGATGACTCTGCCTTGTTGGGCAGCCGGGACATTGCCCGTGGAAAGGCATTCACGGCCCTGGGCTTCAGCTCCAACGAGAACGTTTTGAGCAGCCGTCAGATCGGTGGGGCCGCCTTGGTGGCCAACGGGAACACTCCAGCACTAGGAGGAATCCAGAACACCAACCGCCAGGAGGGCGCCGGCGTCGTCACTTTCGGAGGCGGCATCCCCCTCTTCAAAGAGGGGAAGCTGGTGGGAGCTGTGGGCGTGAGTGGTGACGGAGTGGAACAAGACGAAGCAGTCGCCCTGGCTTGTGCTACCGATTTTGAGCCGCCCCCCGCCTTGAGCGCTGGCATGGTCGGCGAGAATGTGACGAACCCACTCTCTAGTTGAGCTTACCGTGTTTCTAGAGAGGCGGTGGAGATTTTGATCGGACATGCTTCGATTCCGTTCCCTCCTGTGTCCAGCAATGCCTGGGTTTGTCGAAGCTAAATGGGACGGTGTTGAGAACAGCTGCGCGTTTGCAACTTTGTGAGTCAGGGCACTTGCTGACGGCTTGCGGGCCTTGCAGTAGGTGCAATCTGGGCGACAGCTTCCCCGGCAGTTGGCGGCACGGGCCGTGTCCTCAATAAAATCAGCCTGCTATGTACTATAGGTTTTTGAGGAGAGCGAGGGAGTGGGGGTTGCCTTTCTTTGATGCTTTCAGCATGCAGTGGGGCTTGGAACAGCCGCGCTACCGCTAAGGCTCTGCCATGTTTATGCCAGTTTTGTGCGTAAATTAGCTACCACTTTTTGCGAGTCTTCCACATGTTGCTCGAGGCCATCAGCTGTTGCCTGTTCCTCCCTCCAGAACAAGGTCGTTTAGGCGCCATGGCGCTCTGGGTGTTCCTGGCCTTCTTGGGCATCGCAGTCGGAGAACACTGCGAGCGCTGCGCAGACGGAGGTGATCAGGCGGCCTTCCTTCAGTCCGGCAAGGAGTCCTGGCCTGGTGTACGTCGCAGCTACGGCTACTCCTCGAAGACGGAGAAGATGTTTGAGGACGAACCCTTTGACCTGCCGACATTGAGCCCTCAGGACATCGAGACCATCACTGCCAATTGCATTACGGGAGTGGGCTTGGTGGCTTCGCCCCTTCGTGCAGCCGCTGCCAACACCACTGTGGTCATGCAGATCGTGATCATGCCCAGGGCCACGCCGAGCCAGCCCGTGAACCTCTGGGATGTGGGCGCTAAGCCCGATGACTCTGCCTTGTTGGGCAGCCGGGACATTGCCCGTGGAAAGGCATTCACGGCCCTGGGCTTCAGCTCCAACGAGAACGTTTTGAGCAGCCGTCAGATCGGTGGGGCCGCCTTGGTGGCCAACGGGAACACTCCAGCACTAGGAGGAATCCAGAACACCAACCGCCAGGAGGGCGCCGGCGTCGTCACTTTCGGAGGCGGCATCCCCCTCTTCAAAGAGGGGAAGCTGGTGGGAGCTGTGGGCGTGAGTGGTGACGGAGTGGAACAAGACGAAGCAGTCGCCCTAGCTTGTGCTACCGATTTTGAGCCGCCCCCCGCCTTGAGCGCTGGCATGGTCGGCGAGAATGTGACGAACCCACTCTCTAGTTGAGCTTACCGTGTTTCTAGAGAGGCGGTGGAGATTTTGATCGGACATGCTTCGAACTTCGATTCCGTTCCCGGCTGTGTCCAGCAATGCCTGGCATAGTCGAAGCTAAATGGGACGGTGTTGAGAACAGCTGCGCGTTTGCAACTTTGTGAGTCAGGGCACTTGCTGACGGCTTGCGGGCCTTGCAGTAGGTGCAATTTGGCGGGATGCTGGGCGACAGCTTCCCCGGCAGTGGGCAGCACGGGCCGTGTCCTCAATAAAATCAGCCTGCTATGTACTATAGGTTTTTGAGGAGAGCGAGGGAGTGGGGGTTGCCTTTAATTGATGCTTTCAGCATGCCGTGGGGGTTGGAACAGCAGCGCTACCGCTAAGGCTCTGCCGTACAACCCGACGCATCCCTAAACTCTCACATATTCTGACCCGTAGAAGACCCCAGACCCCTTCAACCCTAAACCCTAAACTCAACCCTGTAATCCTGTAAGCCCCTAAACCCCTAAACCCTGAATGCACAGTAGCGCTGAGGCTCTGCCCTGCCCTGCTCCCATTGAAATCTTCTCTGCGGGGGAGAGCATGCACCTCGGCCTCCGACGGTTTGGGGTTTCGGGTCACGGTTTCGGGTTTAGGGTTTCGGGTCTAGGGTTTTAGGGTTTCGGGTCTTGGGTTTTAGGGTTTTAGGGTTTAACGCGTCGGTAGAGTCATTTTTGGCTCTGGGGCTTGTGGGGTTTTGAAGGTTTTAGGGTTCTGATGTTTGTGGGGCTTTTATGGGCCGGAAAGGCATTTTTGCTACAGTAGTTACTACAGAACTCAAGACTCAAGACACAAAGCACTGTTACAGTTCTGCTCGTCTTGCTCCAACTGAGTAAACCCTAAACCCTAAAACCCTAAAACCCTAAACCCTAAAACCCTAAAGCCCTAAACCCTAAACCCTAAAACCCTAAACCCTAAACCCTTGCTCCAACTGCCAACCTCGCCCTGCATGTCCCCGCCCGTGAGCGTGCAAACGCCAAACTCCAAACCTTTCCATCCCGGACCCTAATTGAACCCCACCAAAGCAACACCATGACACCCTACTGAAATGAGGCACCATGAGGACTTATGCATTTTCGCAAACAGCGACAACCCTGAATTTCGAGCCCTATGAACCTCGCTTCTGGCGTGTTCTTGAGGTTGCTCATGCTGGTGGATGTGGTGCTCTACGCTGTCGTAGCATGGTGGTTGGAACAGGCGCAACGGGGCGTCAGGTGTTGAGTTCGGATGCCTGAGGGTTTAGTTTAGGGTTTATGTTTAGTAGGACCACATGCAGGGTCCTATACCGGGCCCGTGTCAGTTTATGACACCCTAAACTCTCAGCCCTACTCCCCGAACCCCTAAAGGTTCTGGAATTAGACATGCCTGGGATGTTCTGAGAGTCGCATGTTAAATTTTAGTAAATCGAGGGAAGGGAGTTTGGGAATGGACAGGGACTTGTTTGCACTCGCTGTGCGGAAGGATGAACTGGGGCTAGTCACGTGGCGAATCCCAAAACTTATGAGTATGACCACGGCAAGCCATCTGGACAGCTTCAAGACCCTGGCCTAGCTGTGGGGAAGGCAACGCTGGCTCCGCATTCATCTGAAACACCGAGATTGAACCCATGATGCAAAACTACCCAAGTGCTCCCCCGTCCCTGGCAAAGCTTCTACAGAAACTTTTGATATACACGGGCTTCGCCAGAGCCAGTCGTAAGAGCGGATCTTAAGCAAAGGCGGAGGTTGACCTTTTTGAATCGAGGGTTTGCCTAAACCCTAAGACCTAAACCCTAAACACCCCTGACCCTGAATCCTAAACCCTGCAACAGCTACAATAGTTTTGAACCCAGGCTCGAGTCCTGCATCAGCTCTAGTGGTCTTTTTCCTACCTGTCGGGTATCATGCGGAACTAAAGGCTAACCTTCGGGATTATGTAAGGGCTTTATAGGGAGTATACTATGCCCCCAAAGGTTAAAGGTTACCTACTTACCGACTCTACCACGAAGTCCTTGGGGACTGACTTGAAGCCTGCCCCGTAAGAAGTAGGGTTTAGGTTGGATACTGCCCCCACTCAGTAACAGTTGGATAATATTCATAATATAGATATATTAGGCCCTTAATAGTAGCCCTATTATAGACTGTTAGTGTATGGGGGCAGTATCCAAGGTTTAGGGTTTAGGGTTTAGAGCAAACCCTGCCCCCCTGCCCTTCGCTCCCACGGCGGATATCCAGGTCCATCCCATCCACCACCACGTTGCCACCTTTGAAGACCTCAGGGTGTGGACCCTTCGAGGGATTTCCAGGGTTTAGGGTTCAACGTTTTTTTTGTTATAATTTGGTGGTAGTGCTTGAAATTACCTGGCGCGGTTTGCCTTTTAACGTATTCCAGGATTCCATGGCCGTGCAACACACACAAGTCGCTGCGGCATGACGGCGTTTAAAACTAATGCACGTTAACTGCTTGTCATACGGCCTGAAAGAGCTGCAGGAAGCCTAAGTATCCTAACTAAGCCCGAACCCTCACCCTGAACCAGAATCCTAAAAACACAAACATCGGGGCGTTGAAACCGTTACTAACCAGAATAGGGTTCTAGGCGCGTAAGCCCATTAGTTTTGATAGTGGCCGTGCGCGATAGTCATGCAAATCTTCCGGCCCGCATATTCGGCCCCCCAAACCCTAAACCCCATATTCGGCTCCCTAAACCCTCAACCCCCCCTGAGATGTAACGCTGCTTCTGCATGCCTGGAGTTTGAGAACAAGTGCTGAAACATGAATGACAGGTTGTCTGGTTCAGAGTAATCTAGAGCACGCACTGAGCGGCTTCCAGGCTTTTATCCTGTCTGCCACCTTTGCTTGCGGGTCTACGAGTCTGCGATGGAACCGGCAACTCGCAACCTCTTCGTCTCTCGGTCATCCGGGGTTCGAAAGCTGAGGCCTGCTCCTGCTGCGTGGTCGCGCTTTGACACAGCAGAGGGGAGATGTGGCCAGGCACCCAGCAGTCATGGGCGAGTGGAACAGCAGTCTGCCCAGTTTTTGCATCCCTACGCTGCATGGTCCATGGAATCCTTCACTGCAGAATCTGCGGTGCCGAAGACGGACACTGATGCATCTTGCAGGTGCCAGCGACACCACCCCAAGTGTAGCTTCTTGCATGTTGCGACAAAGTGGCATCCGACTCGTTTAAGTCTCGGATCTGCCTAGGTTACAGAATTCACCTTGATTCCACCGGTCGTTCACATGAGCCACGTGAGCCACCGCAGCCCGATGATCCTTCGTGAAGTGCTTCGCTTGTTGTGGGGTCTTCGCCTCTCTCGGCTACTCCACCGGCTTGTAGGATGCCATTGCTGAAAGGCTCTCCATCTTTTCTGTCAAGTCTTGTCTTCGGGTCTTTGGCCTGTGGTCTTTGGCACTTCGGAGCTGCGTCCTCTTTCGTCAGCCTTCCGCCTCTTTGAGCTGGGAAGGGTCTTTCCTGAGCTCCACCCAGCCAGACCCGGGTAGTTCAACGGAAGACAAAGACCAATCTGTAGTTTGCGAGTTGGGGTGGAGAGCTGAGGTTCTTGAGTTTGATGGCTTCTCCGGGTGTTCGATTTTGCTTTCTTTCCTTCTGCTTCTGAGCTGTGTCACTGTGTCGAAGGCGTGATTCATGGGCGATGGGGTGCAGCACACCGACCACACGTTTTACACAAACACCTAAGCTCGAAGCATCGGAAGTCCGAGTTCGCTTTCCAGTTGTTAGAAGGTGGGCAATGCTTTGGGTTGGAATCGCCTCGAAGTCTCCGAGTTTTGGCATCGACATATTCAAACTTCCCTGGCCCTTCAGGGCACGGGCCTACCCAAGTGTGTGATAAGGCTCCAAAGTGCTTACATGGTAGAGAGAGCATCAGGTTTGTGTACTAGGAATCATAGTTTAATACGGTTAGGGTGAGTATATTGAACTTGGTACCTAGGACCCTTGGGGTTAGCTTTTTTCGAGCTAGGCGAAGTTGTGTGGCAGCCGGAGCCCGAGCTTCGCAGCTTTCTGGGCACAAATCCACCCCCGGATCAGGTGGTGAAGCTCCCAAAGCCCTTGTTCTCCATGGCCGCTGCCCCAATCTTCGGAGTTGAGATTTTTAAAGCTTGGGAGAGCAGAAGGGAGAACGATGTGAATCAGGGTGTCAGTTTTGCAGTTGCGCTTTCACTTCTCGGGTCGAGCCGTGATTGGGGAGCTGGGATGTCGGAAGACCTTCGGGAACTAACCTGAGTTGCAAAATCTGCTGGATTTGCGGACGTGTGTCACTCTGGCAGTTTCTTGCGTGTGGCAGACGGTTTCAAGTCCGTTTGCTTGGTGCTTGGCAAAAAGAAGAGGTTTCCTAGTTTTGGTAATCTCCAGCCACTGCGTCTGGTTTCGAACAACCCCCCAGTTGACGAGTTGGGGGTCGGCTGCATGTACTGAGCGGTTGCTGTCTTTTTCCTGTTAGGGCTTGGGGTTTAGGGATGTTTAGGGTTTAGCTGTACGATCGACTCAGCAACTCGCAATCTCTTCGACTCCGGCCATCGGTTACAAAGCCGAGGCCGGCTTCCTCCGTGTAGCCACGCTTTGACGGCAGAGAGGGCATAGGTGGCCGTGCACTCAGCAGTCATGGGCTAGGGAGAACCCAGTGCTTGCACTGCATGGTCCAGAAGAGCATGCGAATCCTTCTCTGCAGAATCTGCAGTGCCGAAGAGGGACACTGATGCATCTTGCGGCGGCGCGCGACGAGGTGCCAAGTATGCCTTCTTCTTGCAGGTTGCAACAAGGTGGGATCCCCGACTTGCTGAAGTCTCCGATTCTCCGATCCTCTGGGTCACCGCGATTGGAGCCATCGCTCGCAATGCGCACGGATCAGGTGCTGGAGCTCCCAAGCCCCCTGTTCTTCATGGTCGCTGCCCCAATCTTTGGAGTTGAAGAAAGCTTGGGAGAGCGGTGAAGCAGGGTGTCAGGCTTTGCGCTTGCCGCTAGTGGAGCTGGGATGCAGGAAGACTTTCGAGAATTAAGAGCCGGAGTACTGGAGCATTCTGGGGCCTGAGTTGCAAAATCTGCTGGGTTTGCGGACGTGTGATCACGGTGCCAGTCTGGTGCGTGTGGCGGTTTCAAGTCCGTTCGTCCTATGCTCCCATGGCAACAGTGGCAGATGCGTCGCCTCGAAATCCCCGCAGATCTCAACTCAAGCCGGGCCCCCCTTCTACTTCGACCCAAAATCCTCAGGATTTCGGGCACTGTGCGCCATCTACAATCTACAATCAAAGTCGGGTGAAGAAGAAAATGGGTACATACGTCCCGGGTCCCAGGGCAACTTGAAGCCGAAACGCGGCACGAAAGCAAGACGCAGAGCACCGGACTCCCATCCCGACGGCCTGAGCCATCGACTTCCGAGCTTTGTCGCCGCTTCGACAGCCTGGGCCGAAGATCTGCCAGGTGTTTCGGATCAGGGCTTCCTCCCGTTTTCGGTTCTACTGGGGGATCGAAGTTTTCCTGAGTCAAAGAAGGTACTGCAGGAAGGTTGAGGGCCCCGGGTACATTTACATGTGAGCTCCCAAGCACACTTTGTGGGGTTCGTGCTTGTGCATTATGGTAAGAGCCAGAAGCGGAAACGGAGCTGATATCAAAAGATCTACTGCACCGAATTTTCCATGAGCTCGATTGACACGGCACGACCGGGAGGTGCAAGGCCTTCCACAAGCGCGACGGCGGCCTCCCTCTTCCTACGAGATGTCGGAGGCAGATCCAGGGTCGATGTCTTCTTTCGGAGCGTTGGCGATGTGTCCTGATGTGCATGGATGCTGTAGCATTTATACAAGTTTACAAGACAAGAACAGAGTAGTCATTGTGAGTATTGTTGATTGCAGCCAGAACCACCCTCTGCCATTGCCTCCTACTGCAACGCACGGCTCCGAATGTTCATTGAGCCTATTGCGAATCCTGCATGCAACTCCTGGAAAGTCTACTTGGAGGATCAGGGGATTCAGTAGGTAAGGTTATCAGTACCGTAACTGGGGTTGTAAGTAACTAACATTAGAGTACTGGGTCCCATGATCCTTGAAGTATCCGATCTAAGGCCCTGGTAAGCCTTTTTTTATCAAGCCCGTCGATCTGTGGCTTCACAGAGCTGAGGCGCGGCAACGCAAACGCAAGAGCAGCAACCAGGGCTCGGGCAACTCGGTTCCTAAACCCCACAAATCCTGTTTCCGAAATCCGGGCCGTCCTTCTCAAAATCAGATCTTTCAATACCTACAGTTACTTGTACCTTTGTTTGCACCACAACGCCGCTGATTTCCAACCAAGCTAACAGTAGTTCATAGTCAAGATACTCTAGCAGGGGCAGGCAGGGATCCCGGCGAAGCTGAAGGAGCTTTCGTCCGAGTGCGGATGTCCCTGACGTTACAAACAGCTCTAGCCCTGTATTGGCGTGAGCATACAACTACCGCGAGGTAGGTTGCAAGTACCCTCGACGGACACCTGGATAAGCCTGCTGAGTCCGCCTTATGGATGTAGCAGAATCTAGCGGCTCGCACGACTTGCGTCTTATCAGACAGAAGCCAATCGTTTATGGACTTCTAGACGGAAGCCAGAATGAGGAACCCTAAAACGGGTAGATCCTGGCGCAAAATATTCGAAGCCTCAGGCCAGCTTGAACTCCCGTTGCCCGAAGAGCAACCGCTAGGTCGGCTAAGTCACCTCCTAAAGCGGTTTAGGGTTTTTGGTTGAGGGCTTAGGGTTTAGGGAAGAGTCGCAGAGTAATTCCAAGCCTCGCCGCAGGGTTTCCCCGGCAGGAACTTCTGGAGCAACTACTTCAAGGCAGCCCCATCAGGGAAATAAACCTCAGCGAAGAATTCATCAGAAACGAGGGCTGCAAGGCCCGGTGGCTGAGAGATCGGTGCATTTTGGAGCCTCGGCCTTTTCTGTGCGAGGTTTTGGCAGAGGCGATCAAAAGCAACAGCACGATCACGAACATTGACCTCCGGAACAACGAAATCGGCGACGAGGGCTGCAAGGCTGGGTGGCTGAGAGGTCGGTGCATTTTGGAGCCTCGGCCTTTTCCGTGCGAGGCTTTGGCAGAGGCGATGAAAAGCAACAGCACGATCACGAACATTGACCTCGGTTTCAACGACATTGGCGACGAGGGCTGCCAGGCTGGGTGGCTGAGAGGTCGGTGCATTTTGGAGCCTCGGCCTTTTCCCTGGCAAGGCTTTGGCAGAGGCGCTCAAAAGCAACAGCACGATCACGAACATTGACCTCATACGCAACGACATCGGCGCCCAGGGCTGCAAGGCTGGGTGGCTGAGAGGTTGGTACATTTTGGAGCCTCGGCCTTTTCTGTGCGAGGCTGTGGCAGAGGCGATCAAAAGCAACAATACGATCACGAACATTGACCTCCAGTTCAGCAGAATCGGCGCCGAGGGCTGCAAGGCTGGGTGGCTGAGAGGTCGGTGCATTTTGGAGCCTCGGCCTTTTCTGTGCGAGGTTTTGGCAGAGGCGATCAAAAGCAATCGTACGATCACGAACATCAACCTCGTGGCCAACAGCATGGGCGACGAGGGCTGCCAGGCTGGGTGGCTGAAAGGTCGGTGCATTTTGGAGCCTCGGCCTTTTCCGTGCGAGGCTGTGGCAGAGGCGATCACAAGCAACAGCACGATCACGAAAATTGGCCTCAGGCACAACAACATCGGCGCCGAGGGCTGCCAGGCTGGGTGGCTGAGATGTCGGTGCGTTTTGGAGCCTCAGCATTTTCTCTGGCAGGCGTTGGCAGAGGTGCTCACAAGCAACAGCACGATCACGAACATTGACCTCGCTTTTAACAGCATCGGCGCCGAGGGCTGCAAGGCTGGGTGGCTGAGAGGTCAGTGCACTTGGAGCCTCGGCCTTTTCCGTGCGAGGCTTTGGCAGAGGCGATCCAAAGCAACAGCACGATCACGAGGATTGACCTCGCGGAAAACAGCATCGGCGCAGAGCAAGTCCAGGCCCGGTGTGTCAATGGCACTCCGGCCGGATGGTGTTCCATTGCCTGCGAGGCCATCGGAGAAGTTCTTGCGACACGACAGCAGCAAAAGGAATCCCGCGAGGCGGGCGAGTCTCATTAGCCATGCAGGGCTGTGCAAGCTACGCCTAGGCAGTCCCGAGGGCTGGCAATCGAACAACAGCTGCTCATGATGCGACCCACCTCTTTCAAAGTCGGCGAGAACAAGACAAAAACCGCGGGCTTGTCCGGTTTGCTTCTTGTCGGGTTTGTTTGCACAAAGCAGCTGTGCACCCTAGCTTCAGCACTTTCTCGCGAAGCGTCGCAGCCTCTGGATCCCTGATGGAGAAACGCTCAAAGGAGTGGCTAGCAGGTGTTGAAGGCTGGTGCTTACAGTCTCGTCCTTGCTTAGGCTGTTCAGGGCCAGGGTGTACATCACGATCCTTTACGTTCTGACACCAATTCCAGACGAGGCTGCAACAAGTTCAGCTTCGAAGAATGCCAAGCAGTCCCACAAGTGCACGTGTCGACACAAGATCTGCTTCAGTCAGTCAGTCCGCCGACACGTCGGTCTGTCGGTCTATCCGTGAGCGATCAGAGGCCATCAGAGGCCGTAGGTTCATCCGTGCAGCTGAAGCTGAAAGGTTGCAGGGCTCAGAGAGTTGGAGCCGCAGAGGTCGGCTGATGCCATTCCCTGAGCCGAACTCTGAACCATCATCGCCAGCCTGTGAGTGGCACGTGTCCATGCAGTGAGTGGCAAGCCCCCCAACCCTTCTGACCCCTTTGACCCGGATGCTATCGCTGCTCCAAAGGCGACAAACCAAGAGGCTGCCCACTGCATTGTCAGCCGGATGTTCGTGTGATGTGAAGGCTACAAAATCTGACAACAGGATATCTCTTAGTCGCGAAGAATTTTCCCTCCCTTTCAGAAAATGCAGGCCACGCCACCTCCGAAGCTTAGAGAGTAGCCACGTCCCCGTGACTGTCGCAGTGTCTGTGTGCTCGACTGGTATCTTGGAACCGTATCAGGATCTCAAACTGCATTTCGACGAGTGGCAGCGCAGCGGCTTTGCGCCGCTGCCCGTGGTGCGGCTCTGCTTCGTGGGGCAGGGCCGGGCTGGCAAGACCACTACGCTGAGGCCGGACATGTGAGGGGACTTGCCAGAGTCTTGAGGAAGTCCTCGAGTTTCGTCTTGGACGCTCGACCCGTTGTAATGATGACCGAATGAGAGCTGAAATGAGTTGAACAGATGCAACATCAGCAGGCCCTGCCATTGAGTCTGCTCGTGCCCGCGGATTTGCAGATGCATGTGAAGGAAACCATTGTTTAACACCACATTGGCGAAACCGGTGGTGCCAGGCGCCTCAAGGGGGAGGTCGTGCGGGAAGGCCAAGAAGAGTCCACGTACGGCGTGGAGCTTTGGGCCGGACAAGCACGGGAAGATCTCTCGTCATCCTAGCAGGAGTGTGACAGGAGCGTCTTCGATACCAGCGCGGTCGATGCCATTCGCACAACGAAGCGTCGCGAAAAGCAACAGCCAAAGCAAGGCCGAGGTCCAAAAACGGAGGAGCACCCCAACAAGCAGACACCTGCGGGAGATGCAGCTGGATCGACAGACTTGCCCAAGGACAATCGCATGTGCTGGGACAGCCCGCCATTGGTCACATATATCTTGTGCTGAGGGTACGCGGGCCAGTAAGTGAGGGAAGGACCGAGTAAGGAACAAGGCGCATGCTGGCTGCCAGGAGCCTGTTCCGCTGAATGTGCGGCAGACCTCGGAGGAGACGAACCACAGCAAAGAGATTCCTCGAGAACTCGCCGACGAGGCTCAGCCCGAGGAGAGAGAACCAGGGCGAGAGACACAGAGAGGCACAGTAAGCAGGGAAGCAGAGAGGAGCAAGGGTTTGGGTTTCAGCTGGCGAGCAGGCTGCACAACAGAACGCAGAGGAATCGCTTGGCCCCAGACTCATGGATGACCAGCTATTTCTGGATATGGGAAGGGCTGGCGACGAAGAAGAGCCGTTCCGGCCCAGATTACAATGCTGGGACTTCCCAGGGCAGAACGACTATGCTCAGTGCAACCTTCTGTACTTCCACGGTAGAGGCATTTACTTGGCATTTGTGGATGTTAGCCAGCAGTTGGACGATGCCTGGCGCGAGCTCCAGTTTTGGATGTGGGCTATCGCGCAGCACGCTGACGATGACTCTGACTATGATCCAACGCGCAAGAGCCTCGCAGCTCCGCCAGTCCTATTGGTTGCCACCAAGTGGTCGAAGAAACGGCTGGACGAGCAAGACCTGGACAGTCGTGTGGATTCATTTTTAGACTACGTGCCACGGCTGAAGAGCCAGCTTCAAGCAGGACCCGGAGTTTCTGCATCGTGCCGCTCGAAGTGGATCTACCCGGTGGAGAACTTCGCAGAGGGTGTGGAGACCTACATTAGACCGCTCCGGGAGAGGCTGAACGAGCTCACTGTAGATCTCCTTCTCCCTACAAAGCCTGATGCAGTCAACCAAAAGACTTATGCTGGTCTGCAGTCGCAAACTTACCCCGTGGCATGGCTCAGGGCTCATGACCTTCTCACCGGCCTGGGAGATGGCATGGACGTCACAGTCCCAAGAGCACAGCTGCAAGCACATCTGCAGCGCACTGCCGGAAATGATGGACCTGCCACATCCGAACCGAGTATGGGAGCAAGCGACTTGCTAGAAGCGAACTCCAGCTTCTGCTTGAAGTCTGATGAGCCCATGCTGACCCGCAGCGGCGAGAGGATCCTCGTGCCAAAGGGTGCGAGTGTCCAAGTCCTGGGAAGTGCTAGCAGTGGCGATGATCTCCGCTTGAGGGTCTCATGCACCTTGTTGGAGTTGTCGCAAGTAAATAGGCTGCTGGCTGGCGTGAAGCCACGGCCAATCGTCGGTGAAGAGGTGTCTGCGGTGTTGAGCTTGCTGCATGGACTGGGCGTCCTTTTCTGGTTTCCCGAAGAAGGGCTGAAAGAGAACGTGCTGCTAGCAATCCGGAAAGTGGCCGTTGCGCTGACTCGGATCATCAGCTTACGCTTCTGGGCCGAGAAGGGCCTCCAGCACTCAGAGGCCTACAAGAAAGAGCTGCTGGCGTGTGTGTCGAAACAGGCCACCAGCCTTCGCAGATTGAACACAGAAGGCCTCGCGAATCGAGATTTCCTTCGAAAGCTGTGGAGAGAAGACTTCGGCCAAAGCGATATTGAGGCCATGACCAACATACTGCTCAAGATCATGGAACAAAAGGGCCTTGTCTTGAAAAGAGCCTTCGAGAACGATTTCATTGTGCCTTGCTGCCTACCTGCCGCAATAGTGCCAGAATCAGAGAGAGATGATTGTGAACTCTGCTGCCTCAATTTGGGTGGCCTGCTCACACCAACCATCCTATCACAAACGGCTGACAAGATATGCAAGAGCGGCCGTGGATCTCAAAAGTTGAGCCCGGGTCCTCCCCAGATTTTCCGAAACTACGTTGAGCTGAGTTCCGGGAAGACGCTGATTAGCATGTGCCTATCGCCTGCCGACGGCTTTCAACTGCTTCGAATCCGGGTGACATCCAGCCATCGGTCCGAAGAGGATGCAGAAGAATCTCACTCTCGGTCTGAGACCAGAGACAACGAACTGAGCTGGGTCATCGACCTCTTGTTCGACTGTCTCGGAATTGAGAAGCGGATGCACAGCAAATTGGTCGTTACCAGCGGAGCTACGCACTTCGACCCACAGCTGTTCCTGGATGGACGGAAGCTGCCCGATGTCAGTTTCTTGAGGCAGAGGTTCTTGTCGGACCTGAATCCTGGCCTGGCCAAGGTTGTACGCAATTTTTGCGTGCTTAGTGATGTTCGTCCCGCGGGGAGCTTCCGATTCAGCTCCATGCTCTATCCCTGCGATGTGGACATGGAAGAGTACGTAGTGGCTGTGGAAGAGGATCAAAATGCTGCGCTGGGCTGCCTCGTAGAGTGGCTGAAGCTTGTTAGCACACGGTGTGAAAGAGACGGGAACATCAACTGGGGCGGGTTGAAAGCTGGTGAGGATCCGATCAAGCCGGGGAAGGTTCTAACATGGAGCACAGACGAGATACTGAAGGGCAGCAAAGTCTTTGTGGTCGGCGATCGGCAAGAAACGGTTGCCTTCGACAAGGCCCTCAAAGAGGGCAACAAGTCCCGGACAGCTTTCATCACAATCTTTGCGAAAGTCAGCTTGTTTAGTGATCAATCGTCGGCAGAGCGGTTCTTCGAAACTACCAACGTGATCCGCTTCGGGCATGTGAGCAAGGGCCAGATCGTTCCCGTCACAAAGGAGTATGACTTCCTGGAGGTCCTGGACAAATGCTCCTTCAGCTATTCTGGTGAAACTCCGAAGGCTATGAAGTATGCCGCATCCTCAGTGGTCACCAGGGCGAGCCTTCCAGGATTTCTAGGGCACCCAGAGTAGTTTCGTCATTGTACCTGTCGTGCTGTCAGATGTTACGTTGCTCCGTTGAGGTGAAGCGCCTTTGGGAACGGGCAGTGTATTTGGCTCAGCGAAACATGGCCGTCGAGGAGTCCCTGATCGTGCTTAAGGCTCTGAAACCCATCTTTGGCCATTGGGTGGCGGAGCTGGCCCAGATCGCAGCCCATGCCGAGACGCTACATTCAATGCTGGAGAAGGGTTTCAACGATGCAGTTCTATCCGACATGGAGGTTTTCAGCCGAAGCCTCAGCCTTGCGTTGCAGCCTCCCGCCAAACCGTGTCTGCGGCGACTTGGTGACTAGAGCCCTCTCGCACTCGGCAGCTGAGGTGGAAGCCTGAAGGGCATGAACGAGCCTGGGCTCTTGTTTAGACTAGTAAGGAAACCTTATGATTTTAAGAATAAGGAAACCGCATTTTTTACTATAGATCCCTATATTCTGGTAACTTTTCACTGAAAAAATTCCTTTTAAGAAGAGCCCAGGAGCAGCTGCAAGGGATCCAGGAGAAGGAGCTCGAGATGGACTCCGAGCTGACCTGGGAGCCGGCCGCGGCATCGGAAGTTCTGGAGACCTTGGAGCATCTCATGGGGCGGCCCTTCTCGCTCCTATCGCAAGATTCAAGGGATGATGGCAATGGCAGTGGCAAGCTGGAGAAGAGGCTGAAAGAGGCGCAAGAGCTTCTGGAAGGATGCGTGGAGTGTGCTTTGAACCAGTGGTTGGGACACTTCAAGACAGCCGTCACGCGACCTCTCGATCAGCAGTGGAGCTTTCCTTCAGAGAATCTGCCCATTGGGGCCAAGGTGGGATCCATATGCGTGTGCTCGTGGAACTTGCAGGGCTTGAAGGGCCAAGAAGGGCAGCAGCAGAGCATCGTCAACATGGTCCTGCAAATGCTTCTTTCCTCGAGTTGCCGCAAGCACGTCGTCTGCCTCCAGGGATGCTGGCGAGAACTTCTCGTGGTAATTGAAGGTGCAATTGGCAACTCCAAGCAGGACTCCTTCGACATGGAGTGGGTCAGGAGCGGTCAGCAGGCAAGAGCGTCTCAACCCTTTGAACTTTGTGTGACTGCATGGCCTGCAGCGCCACACACAGTTCACGATGTCCCTGCGAGGCCATCATCTATGACAAGCAGGCCCTAGAGATGAAGCCCCTCGAGGTCAAGCAGCTTCTCTCAGCTGACCGGCAGAAGGCTCTTCGTGTTGATTGCGGAGTTTGTTGCCAGCAAGCTTGTGCTCCTCTTGTCAATCCGATTACTTGTGTTAGCTAGCACGTATGGGTACCAGCTGAGAAATCTTCAGTTGAGCACACTTCAAGCACAGCCGCCAGGCCGTTGCGGTTGCCCAGTTGCTCCTGAAGACGGAAGCTCGCCATCTTCGAATCGTGGCAGCGCCACTTGGCCCGAAACCCTGAACCTTAAACTCCTAAGCCCAGTTTGAATAAAACATAACAAGCAGAGCTGAGCCATCGTGAACCTGAGAGTCTCCGAGTCCTCAGAACCCAAGCAAGCTTGCCGGAAGTCTCTATCAACTGACAACCTTTGAATTTTCGAAGTTGCCCAGGCATCTTCCTGTCGAGCCTTTCGGCACTACGCGTCGTGCACTCTGCGAGTGCATTGGAAGGCTCGCACGGGGATAGTGCTACATGCGCTCGCCGTCGGAGGCAGCTTGGCTTGTCTGAAGTCCCTGAACTGCCTTCCTGATCTCCAGGCTCCATGTCGGTGAGGGCGACACCGCCCAGATGCCGATGCTTCTGCTCGGTGACCTCGGCGTCCAGGAGCAGGCCTCGAACCAAAGTCGACAGCAGGTCTTTCGATCCGTTGCAGCATGACAAAGCTTGTCGAGCTTGCGAACCCTTCCTTGCCACATAGCGGCTGATCCGTGGTACACTCTGAAAACGCACTGTTGGTTCCTTGCTTTTCGCTTTAGCAATCCCTGCTTCAACCGCAGGCCATCGGCCCTCTGCTGAAACACCGCGCCAACGTGCCTGTCGCCTTCGTGCCGATACCGTATCCGACCGCCACTTTCAAGGCCAGTCCGCATCATGGAGTAGTCGCTGCGGTGCCTTGAACCACGGCCTGGGGTAGCCCGGTCCCATCATGCTCCGATGGCTCTGGGGGGGCAGGGCTCGCTCCTGCCGAAGCGGACAGATGCCATCGTGCTGCTTTCGAAAGATCTCGAGGCTCCTCCTCCGGCTTTGGCACACGTTCAAGATGTTACTGCTGACCATAGCAGCCACGTAGGAGTCTCGGCCCTGGCGGATCCTTAAACGCGCGATTGCGGATGAGGCAAAGCCGCTGCAGCCTCACTTGTCGTTTTCTTGATGGTCGTGTTTCTGTAGGGCCTTGCGCCCAGACTTCTTTACATAGGGCTTAGCGGAAGAAGCTGCGCGGCCTGCACTTCACCGCTCGCTACTCACCGTGCTGCCTTCGATATATATCTGTTTTTAAGCTAGCATCCGAACGACAATTGCTCATCCGTAGCTTCCTTTTTATGCAGGTGTTTGGGGCTGGCTGATTGGGACGCCGATGGAAGCTTCACAGACATGACCGCTTCGAGCGCGGCAGGCTGAGGCAGGATAGTGCTGCAGCCGGTTCTTCTAGACTGACACTTGCAGCTGTCCAAGCAGCATTAAGAGACCAACTTGAACAATTCCCATGTCCATTTTCTAACTCATATTAACTCAGCATGCATGGCTTAATAGTTGCAACCAGGCCTTGTGGATGATGCAAGCCGATGAAGACGAGGCTGCAATGCTTTGTTCTGAGTGAGTGCATGGCTGGGTTTGGTTTTTGTTGTTTGGGGTCTCTTATTCTGGAGCTCGCCTCTACAGCAAGAGTCAACTCTCGTGTCCGAGGATGCGTCGATCTTAGCGATGGTGGGGATCTGACAAGCGACAGCCTTTATCGAATAAGCCTTGCACAGAGTCGTGCGAGTGTCACCTTTCTTCCGGGCCCCGACGAAGTCCGAAGCCCGCAAGGTTCGCCTTGCGAGACA